GATCCCGAGTGGGGCGAACCATTGTAGGCCTAGTAAACTGGGCCGATCACCATCGACGACAGTTAATGGGAGTGACACGGCACGATTTTTAAAAGATACTTGGACTTGACTCACTCCGACGACTGGGATCGTGTTCCCTTGGTAATCCCTGAGGACGATTTTCTGCGTCCTGAGGTCTTGACGATGGATGGCAGGGATCAGCTGTTTAAGGGTCTTCCAGGAAACCATCGAGAGGGACGATCCAGAGTCGACTTCCATCAGGCAAGGTCGGTTTTCGATGGCCACTTCCACTTGGATCTTTTGTTTGTCTAATGATGAAGCGTGGCCGATAATAATAGTCTGGTGTGTCTCTTCTCGTCTTGCTGGAAGAGCAGATGTTTTGCTGCTGTAGGCATGGTTGTTCCATTGGTTATTCAAACGATCCCGATTTGCAGGGAGGTTCCCTGTGGTTTGGCGGAGGTTGTTCTCCTTTCTGTTTGTGTTGGATTCCCTCTTACTCCTGCAGACCCGTGCGATGTGGCCTCTTTCCCCACAGGAACGGCAGATTGCGTCGAGGAATTTGCAACCGGATCGCGGGTGGTTTCCCCCACAGCCCGCACATGGGCGCTGAAATTTTAGAGTTTGTTGATCTTGTTCGGCCCGAAGTCTGTTAACCTCTTCTTCATCACTCTCGGACTGGGACTCGAGGTCCTCATGGTGCGCTGTTGCTGAGTGTCTTTCTAGTTGAGGCGAGGCTTCACGGGCGAATTGACGGAGCGGTGCGTTGGTGCGGCACATTCGAGCGGCCGACTTCTTGGTTGCCTCTGCTGCAGTAGCATCTGCAATGGCATCTGCAAGATCGACGTCCCCTTTTGCCATGATCTTGCTCTGTACTGTGTGATCATCTAATCCCAGAACTATGCGGTCTTGCATAGCTTCTTCTAGGTCTGAAAAACCACAGAGGCCTCCCAAGTTTCTAAGGTCAGCGATGAAGTCTGCAATACTTTCACCCTTCTGCTGATCCCGTTGATAAAATTCGTGTCTCCGGACCAACGTTGGTATGGCAGGGACATAGTGAGCCCGTAGGATAGGTTCGAGGTTGTCCCAATCCATTGATTTCACCTCAGCCAGTTTCGCGAGCGCTTTCGCCATCCTAAACACGGCTGGTCCACAATGGGTCAAGAACACCGCCTGCTTCTTTCTGGGTGTGGCGTCTTTCAAATTGTTGGTTTCTAGAAACATTTGAAACCGATCCATATACGACTCCCAGTCTTCTTTTTCCGGGTCAAAAGGAGCGGGTGGTATAGCGCCACCTGACATCCTGTCGATGTAGATGCGCTCTTAGCCACGTGCTTCAGTTGGTGCTCTGTAGGATTTAGTCAGCTCTTTTGTCTCCGCATCCCACCTTCGTCGCCAGTGTTAAGTTTGAGGCATGGGTTAATGAACGGAGAACAGACTGTAAACCTTGAACTTCAGCTCTTTATTCTCAAGCATAACAGAGACAAAAAGCCTCCGGCTAGCAGTCACTCTTTTATAGAGTAAGCTGCTATCCGGATAACCAATGGATAGTGTTATAGCGTTTGAATCTTGGCGCGGCCCGCCAACAGCCAGTCAGATTGCTCGGAATGAACCAATCATAACTTGCCATTATATGGGCCAATAGGAAGTGCAGGATTACGATCCTGCTAGGCAAATGAATCTTTATTAATTACATTTCTTTAGTTCACAACACTCACTATATTAAATGTGTTAATAAATACTTTCAGTTTGGTTCTTCTGCTGTCTGGCATGGATAAAATATGAAATATAATATACTGCTGCATAACTCAACCTCATCAAGCATCATAAGCCTCTTTCTTATGGCAAGGGGCTGTCTTCATACTCTAACACTAGTGGAATTTAATATTGAAGTTGTAACTAAGGCCTAAAAATTATTAAGGTACTGTAGTATCTAAAAAAGCAGATTATTACTATTATGGTTCATCACATAGCCATTCAGATTATTCAGCCAATCAATCATTAAAATGTATATTTAACATAGAAGTATCCTTTTCCAAATACCTATTTAATTTCTGGTTTCAAAACAGCCACATAAGTTCAGATCTCTAGTAATCAGTAATTAAAATTTGTTTTTCCTGGTTAAAATTGACTCTGGCAGTATATCAGTTTTTAGATGATAGAATAGCTCTGATTTAAAGTAGCATAGTTTTAAATGTGTTCTGTGGTGATGTAGTACTGTTCTGGCTTGGGAGAAGAGAGAGTTATTCATAAGTTGCATGGTTGTAAATCAATGAGATTTGAGCCATTATTGCAAAGATAAAAACAAAAGTCAGAACAATTGACTTCAGATCTCTATCTTTTTTTCTGAATCAGTAAGAAATGCATTTTCCTGTGGCACTAAATGTTAAAAATTCAATACTTGGCAAGATATGATACATTTCCAGAAGCAGGACAGGAATGATAGTTGTAGAAGCAGAGGAGAACAGAATGATTCAAACACCAAACAGCAAAATGGACATTTCTCTCATTTTTAACAGTTTGAAAATTACTAAGGGATTTGTTAAACCACTCCTGATATCACAAAGATTAATCTAGATGGCATTTTTCATAGCACACTATAATGCTGAGGTGGTTTTTTTTTAAAAAAGTCAGTTGGGGAATTTGTAAAGCTAAAATAAAAGAAACTAGACATAGTGTGTGCTTTTTTTGTATATAAATGCTACTGCAAGTAGAATTTATTCACAACACCAGAATGCAGTGTAATGTAAAACAATAATGTTTGGGCAGGAGGTTACACTCGGTTCATTGAAAAAAACTGCACTTGTGGGGAAATGTTAGGAAGAAAGAAAAATCAGATTGGCTGAACACAAGTTAGTGTTTTATGAATAAAGAAATACTTTTTGCCAGAAAAGAAACAAGAATGGAATGAAGTAGAGAACGGCTGGTATAATAATATCCTTAAATGAATGCAGGGTGAGATTACCGTAGGAGTATTGTGTGAAATTCTGATTACCATTTTTAGGAACTGTATTAAAGAGACTGAGGAAAATAATTGTTAGGCTGCTGGTGCACTTTCCCTATAAGGAAATGCTGCAACAATGGTGTGTGTGTGTGTGTGTGTGTGTGTGTGTGTGTTGGCTTCGAACGAAGAAAGGTAAGAAGAGAATGTGATATAACTATGTAAAGTCATGAATAGCCCAGATTATGTGAAGACCAGTTTTTCTCTGTGTGTCATAATATTAGAATTTGAACTCATCTCCTGACCTAAATCCAGGGACACTAAGAACTGACAAAAACTGTGGAATTCTTAGCCAACTCTTGTAGTAATAGCAGTCAATTTTGGTGGTTTTAAAGAGTATGTTCATGGTGGCTCAGTCTGTCAGAGGCTCTTAAAACTGAATGTCTGCTTAAAGGTAAAGGTTTCTCTGTCCAGTTGTGTCTCACTCTAGAGCACGATGCCATCATGGTTACTTGGCTGAAGGAGCCACAATGTCTGAAGACATTTTCCATGGTCATGTATCCAGCATGGCTATAGGTCAGTGATGGCAAAACTTTTCGGCACCAAGTGCCCAAACTGGAATGCACCATCTGGTCTTCATGCACACCGGAGCGCCAGAAACCGAAGACTAGCTGGGCAGTGCACATGTGTGCATCAACCAGCTGGTCTTCATGCACATCAGAGCACCAGAAACCAAAGACCAACTGGCTGGTGCACATGCATGCACTGGCTAGCTGTTCTTCGTGCACACTGGAGCGCTGGAAACCCGAAGACCAGCTAGCTGGTGTGTGCATGAGCACCATACAGCTTGTCTTTGGGTTACCAGTGCTCTGGTGCACATGAAGAACAACTGACCTGTGTGCACATGTGAACCAGCCAGCTGGTCTTTGGTTTCCAGTGCACATGAAGACCCAGAAGACACATGAAGACCCAGAAACCAGAGGAACAGCTGGTGATGGCCTGCATGCCCACAGAGAGGGCTCTGTTTGTCACCTCTGGCACACATGCCACAGTTTTGCCATCATGGCTATAGGCCAAAGGAATATGGACTGCTGTTACCTTCCCACCAAAGTAGTAGTTATTAATCTACTTGCATTTGTATATTTTCAAACTACTATTCTTCTCATCCTTCCTATTACCTATCTCCTTCTACTTATGACTATAATCTTGTTGCTTGTATCTTTACAATTATATTGTTTTATTTAGTTTCCTTGTATGATTTGGATTGCTTATTTAGTATCCTATGACTATCACTAAGCGTTGTATCTTGCAATTGTCGATGAATGTATTTTTAATGTACACTGAGAGCTTATGCACCGAAGACAAATTCCTTGCGTGTCCAATCACCCTTGGCTAATAAAGAATTCTACTAGGTGGGCACAAGCTGGGACAAGAATGGGAGCTCACCTCATTGTACGGCACTTGGGTCTCAGCTTTCCAACTGACAAACTCAGCATTTTTAGCCGCTGAGCTATTGTGCCCTTCCAAGCCTGTTTAGTACCTCCTAAATCATGCTTTAACATGCTATATAACTCCCTATTCAACATGGAAAGCTCAGTAGAAGGGAGCTGTTGCCCTTCACTGTAAGCTTGTGAGATCCCCACATCCAGGGTGGGATTCTACTGGTTCGGCCCGGTTCGGGCAAACTGGTAGCTCCAAAGATCAGCTGTTGGGCCTGCCCACCCACCCCGGCTCTAGTCTGTGCTTTATTTTTGGGTTTTCCAGCTCAGCTGCTTCGCGCAATACAGTTGATTGCCAGGTGTCAGCTGTTTTATACGCAGGGCTTGCAGCAGAAGGTGAGTTGCAAATGCTGTGCACACGTACAATCTGCGTGCTCACCGAAGCAGTTGTTACATCGGTTGAATCCCACCCCTGCCCAAATCTATATAGCTATATAGCTCAATGGGCTTTGAATTTGATTTTACTCTCTGTCCTCCATGTACAGTTCAGTATCCCACCTCCTGTTCAACTGTGGATGCTTTAATCCAGGGGTCCCCAACCGCCGGTCTGCGGACCGGTACCGGTCCGCGGAACAAGTCTTACCGGGCCGCTGGTTGCTGGGCGCCGCCATCTTTTTTTGGTAAAAAAGTGCTTCCGGTGAGCTTTTCCGGGTAGAAAGCTCACCGGAAGCACTTTTTCATCAAAAAAAGATGCCGGCGCCAGCGCTTCCGGTGAGCTTTTCCGGGTAGAAAGCCATTTCTACCCGAAAAAGCTCACCGGAAGCGCTGGCGCCGCCATCTTTTTTGACGAAAAAGTGCTTCCGGTGACCTCACCGGAAGCACTTTTTCGTCAAAAAAAGATGGCGGCGCCCAGTTGATGCCGGTACCGGGCCGCGGCGCCCAGCTGATGCCGGTACCGGGCCGCGGCGTCAAAAAGGTTGGGGATCACTGCTTTAATCCATTTACATAATAGCAGAACTCTGATGATGAAGGGCCCTGACTAATAAAAACAGATACACTCTTACTTGAGCTGATGAAGACAGCAGATGGGATCTCCTTCCTGCCTTACCATCTGCCACTGCCAAAGTGGGTGGCTTTGGGTTGAAGTTCCAGTTTGTATTAAGAAAATGTGGAATTTCGGAATCAGAATGGCTTCATTTTCTGTTATCCCTAGACCATTCAAATATGTACACATCAAGTTGGTGATGAACAAGCCTATCTTCTCAGTATAACTGCATCTGGAATTAATTTACTATCTCTGTTGTATCTGATTATTTATCATGTTAGATAGAAGCAAGTGAACTCTCAAATCTTGTAGCACAATCTGTAATCCTACCCAATCCATTAATGGAACTCCTTGTAAGATTTCAGCGGCTAACTCCTGCTAAACTGTTTGTTATCCCCCTTATCAAATTCTAACTGCAATGCATTGTCCCTATTTGCTAATGTTGTGAAAGTATATATGTATAATCCTTTAAGAAACACTAAGACCTAGTGCCTATGATTAGTTTCCAGTTAATCCAAAATTGCCTCGTTTGTATCAGTATAGATCAGCAAATACATATTAATATTTTGCTTACATTAACTGCAGGGCATACATCATGAAGCGTATAGATTTGGAGAAGCAATGGGTGGGGGTAAGGATTGTTCAACATTTCTGTTAAATGAGAAAAAATATTGCATCGGTTCCATTTGTTAGACTGAAATAAATTCATTGGTTGATTGGCATATACCTGATACTTCACTGCCCATAATTTAACTCACTGTACAATACTAGAATGTAATTATGCCACCCAACAGTGCCATCTAATGGGGTTACAATAACTTAGGTCCTGTATATCAGTCACATACTTATTCAGCTCCTGACAAAATAGATCCTGGCTTTACAACTGTATGATCATTTCTGCCTTGCTACACACGGCAAATTTTTATTTCCACATCTACTTATGTACCAAGTGCTTGCTCTAGCCACAACTATATATATGCAAAGCAAGCACATGTACATGTACTTACTCTGTGAAATCTATGTTTGCGTTGAAATATTTATTTATTTATTTTGGGCACATGCACTAAATACAACCTGTTATTTTTATGGTACTTTATGGTACTTTTTATCAGATGCATATTGGCTTATTCATTCCAATTATTTCTCAGGGAAAACATCATCAAATTCCTAAAATGACAATTCTTATTTCTTCCTGCTATAATTTGACAATAAATAGAATACTTGTGCAATAGTAGCATGGCACTATTCTTTTGTTTGTCAGAACAAAAAAAATATCAGTAACATGTTTATATTTCATATATTTCATGTTTTCACAGTCAAAGAAATATTCTATATATGAACATAACCTGTTCATAACCTGTAAAATCAAGTGAGAAGTTGTAATTTAGGAATGTTGCAGCTAGCAGCAGAAACTTCCCTTACAGCCAGACGCTCCTCCAAATATTTCAGGCAAATTTATCATTTTCAAAGTTGTATGTCTAAAAAAAAAAGCAAAAACGAAATTACATTATTATTTATCCCAATGTCCACATATCAAAACTTTTCGTTTCATTGAAGATAGAGCTCAAACTTAAAACATAGAGTTGGAAGGGACCACGGAGATCTTCTAGTCCAACCCCTGCTCGAACAGGAGACCCTACACCATTTCAGATAAATGGTTGCCATAAAATAGCACCTCATAAAATAGGAAAGTTCAATTGACTTTTTCTCTCATGTCATATAATGGACATCTTGATTTACTTAAATAAATACCACCAGACTATAGAAATCGAGATGAATATGCTAATTTGAATTGCTTTATCCAGTTTTTTTCTTGGAAACCTGTCTTCTTTATAGATTGGCTGTCCTATCTAGGCTGCCCCTTCCTCTCACTTTCTCAATTCCATCATATCTGGATCTGAGAGATTGAGAGAGCATAGGAAAAGGTTAAGGTAGCATTGCAAGAATGTACTAGGCTAGGGTGTTGGGGTGAACCTACTTTTGAGTGTGGTGGTGATATATACAAATAAATAAATCAAAATGTCTTTTTATTTATTTATTTTTGGTCCTCAGACTTGCTTTAAACTGATGGTCAGCAATTCTACAAGGGTACATCCAATCTTTTTGGTACCCCATTCTAGAAGTGTTAGATGATAAGATCTAGGGCCATTTCGATGTGCCAAGCCATCAGTTTTGGTAAAATGAAAGTGTAACTCAAACGGAGTCCTCAGTATTCTCTGAGCTTCGTTGTTTGGTTGCAACCATTTCATTAACCATCATCAGTGCTACTGAGTGTGGGATTTGCTCCTTGTTTGTATACAGTACCTTGCTTCTATGGTGGGAGTTTCTCCTTGATGGTTCCTTGATCTGAGTATTGTTTTCTGCATGATTGTCTGGTGTTTGTTTGGTGTTAATCCCTGTTTATCTATTATTGGCTGTTGGAGGGTAAGTGTTTTGGATTTTTTTGTTTCCTTCTTAGTTTTTTCCCCCTTTGTGGCTGGTTTGTCTAAAGAGGGACTTGCCAAATATCAAATACACAGATTCATTAAGAAAAAAATGGCCAAACAATAACAAGCATTGCACCAATCTTTCCCAAATTAATGCTAACATTTTATTTTCCACAGGCAGAAAAATGTGATTTCATCTAGGAAAAAAATGGGTGAAATAGTTTGATTTAAAATATATGTGCATTCCACTAGAGGGCAGAATGTACTATTAAAAACTGAATAAACTTGATAATTTGTAGTCGATAAAGATTTGTTGATTTTGTTTGTTTGTTTGTTCTTTGTACTGGAAGATATAAGGTCTTAAGATAGTGAACTATAACTAATTATATCAAAATCTAAGAGACTTTCTGTGGGCGTAAGTTTAATCTAATACATTTAAGTGAAGCAAGATGTTCAGATGGAAATACAGGCAGATATCTGGTTAAGTTTTTTACACTATTATTCATGTCATGAAATTAGGTGATATTCTTGATAAGTGTCATGTATATCATAATAATTAGTAAATACTTTGTGCTGTAAAGCACTGAAGGGAAAAGATGGAATAAAGAAAAAAGTAGCCTGGAAAAAGGATTAAATCAAAAATTATAATGGATCAAGTTATCAATGATAACATTAATGAATGTGAAGATGAAATGTAGAATTTTTCCAAACACTTTTCCTTCCTCAATTATGAAGTAAATCAAGTACAAACCTTTAAACTAACCGAATCTGTCAAGCACAGTTTCTTTAATATTTAATGGTTGCATAAATATATTAATTACCATACAATGCGGAATAACTCTTCAAATATATACATAAATACTGGGTGTGGCTAGGTTTCCTCTTTTGAAGAAATTTCCATCACAGGAGTTCCTGCTATTGTCTCTATAAAAAGTAGTTACTTTCAATATTCTTCATACCCTTTACAATATTAGGAATCCTTTTTTCCCTCTGAAAATAGGACAATGAATTAATATTACCATACTTATTCTGGGAAGTTGTTATCAGCCTATCAATTTATCTATGGAGGTAACACAAAGTTGTATGCCAAAAATATGCAATGGACAGATAACAAAATAAATGAATCAGTGAAAAGATTCAGTTCTAGAATAATTATTTAAAAATAATAATTAAAACTAAAATTCGTTAATATAACAATTAAACTTTAGCCAGTTATGTCCTGGTCCTTAAAAATGTTCAAATGAATTACCATGTTCTGAGATATAATATCTATTAGCATCTGTATCTACCATGGTTCCTTCAACAAATACCATCATTATATTCATTTGTAAATTCATGCAGAGGTCTTATCATAGGAATGCACCCTTAGAGGGAGACCACAGCTGTGATATAAGGATATCTGCAAGAGGGATCTAAAAGCCTTGGGAATGGACATTAACAGCTGGGAAACCTTGACCTCTGATCGTTCAGCTTGGAGGCTAAAGATGCAACATGGCCTTGTTCATTTGAAGAGACATTCATTGGCAGGCTGAGGCAAAGAGGCAGTCTTGGAACCAACGAAATCTGGGGACTGGACAGGAAATAGACTGTATCTGTCCTCAGTGTGGAAGGGATTACTACTGTTGAATTGGCCTTTTTAACCACACTAGATGCTTTTTTAGGACCTCTTTTCAGAGCACGATACCATCGTCTCTTGAGACTGAAGGATGCCAATATAATACGTCATATGTGTCCGTACTATCTTTAGCTAATAATCAATGCTATGAAGTTTGAATTGTTTGATCCCCTCATCCTTGTAGGAGACTCTCAAATGCTGGAATACTCCTATCATGTCACCCCTAGTCCTTCTTTTCCCTAGACTAAACAGACCCAATTCCAGTAACTGTTCTTCATATGTTTTAGCCTCCAGGTCCCTAATCATCTTTGTTGCTCTTCTCTGCACTCTTTCCAGAGTCGCAACATCTTTTTTATAATGTGGTGACCAAAACTCAGTGCAATATGGTAGATGTATGTAGGAAATACAGGAAGTATAGAATTGTGAAAGACAGACAAATTCATTTATTTATTATTTATTTATTTGGGGAGATAAATGATCTGCCATGTTAATCTATGGTTTAAGCAACCAGACTATACAAAACAAGATAATGATTTTTGTTTCAGAAGTATATTGTGATTTGAGAGTAAACATGTGGTTCACTCTAACTGATGACTGTATCTATAATTGGCTACTATATTGAATTTTGGATCTATCTATAGCTATGATTGGTTTTATTACCGCCATAAAACCCAGAATTCCTGGTCAGCAAAAAGTATGCTACGTAGGTATTATGAAAGTTTCAGATCAGCACTTTAATGGTGGCAGTTTGGAAAATTCTTGTCTTATATCACACAAGGGGAAAAATGATATCTATATATAGTTATATAAAGATAGAAGTAGAGCTGATGGAGAAAGAAAACCAGGACTATAGCTTAGCTGTGACATATCCAGTGCAAACAATAAATGTCCACCAGACCCTTCTATCGATCAAACCCAAACCCTGGGAGAAGTGGGGAGGAGAGGTTTCCTTTTATTCTTCTGTGAGAAATATTTAAAATGGAAGTAGTTCATAGGTCATAACATTTTCAGTTTAATCCTCAGGACAAATATGCCATTTTCCAGGCTGCAATTTTGTTTTGTATTTGGCTAAAAATCCTGAATGCCACTGGCTACAATCATAGCTCTATAACTGCTTTGACTGAAAGAACAAAAGTCTAACTTCATCTGCCTAACATACAAACTCAGTGACCCAAACTGCATTCAAAATGTATTTGTTCCACGAGGTCAGCAAACTCAAAGCTGCAGCTTCCCTTTTCCAACCAAAAAGACTGATGGAATATGACCAATCATTTCAAAGTACATTACGTAGAAATGCTGAAGCAAATATATCTCCTGTCCTTCCTCGCTATTCTTATGTCATAAAAACAAGGACCTTTCCCCCATTCCTGATTTTCTAAAGAATGGGCTTCCAAATAAACTATGCATGCCCCTTTGTAGATGATTTGGGAGGGGATTAAAATCATTTGGGAAGGCAGTCAATCTTCACTGAGCCAGTCACTGAACATGCAACAGCATGCAGCAACAATCTCGCTCAGCAGAGTTGAAAGCAGAAACACACACTGACAATTTCAAATGAAAGTTAACTTGTGTATATATATATATACATACCATGTATGAATCAGAACTATAGACTCATAGTTTTGTGTTCTCCACAACAATTACTTCTCTTATCTTATTGAAAGTTAGATTTCAGCTGCCTTTGCTCTCATGTTCACCCATAATCATCTCTTTGTCTTGGTGTGTCCTCTTTATAATTAGGATTCTTTATCCATAGCTAGTTCACTCCATGTCCATGGACACGTATATCAAGGCTGACATATTAATCACCTTTAAGCCAAAGGAAATATTTATAAAAGAAAATAGAAGACAAATAAATAAATTCATTAAATTTAAAATTGAAGAAGTGAGAATTCAGCACAGGGTTGTAGGTTTTTGTGTTTTTTGTTTGCTTTGGCTAAACACGTAAATTTTACTAGTTCAATATTAGTCTTGATTGGTTTTGTTGACAGAGTGTAAACATGAGCATAAAAGAGGGAAGAAAAGAAAGAGTAACATTTGCTACTGAAACAGAAAACATGCAAACATTTGAAGAATAAAAGGACTGGTTTCTATTTGCATAGAAATGTCATTTGCTGATAGATTTAGAACAGGAGTGTCAAACTGGTGGTCCATGGGTCAGATGCATCAAGCACAGATCACACCCACCCCAGCTCCGCAAATGGGGAAAATACCATGAAACATCATGTGACAGTAATGTGACACCATGAGGTTGACACACATGATTTAGAAGAAGGAAAAAAGGAACTACTGCACCTTCTCCTTCAAAAAGTCCAATTCTTTTACCAAGATGTCTATAAAATTATTTATAGATTAATGATATTTTCCCAAGTACAGTTTTGACTGGGTATACAAACTTAAGATGAATTATACAGCATGAGTATTAAAGGAAACAAGCAAAATACAAGAATGCAGTGGGGCATACTTTTATTTATTTTACATAGGAGACATTCAAGATAGAATAGAATAGAATAGAATAGAATAGAATAGATAAAATATAATTCTTTATTGGCCAAATGTGATTGGACACACAAGGAATTTGTCTTGGTGCAAATGCTTTCAGTGTACATAAAAGAAAATATACATTCGTCAAGAGTCAAGAATCATAAGGTACAACACTTAATAATAGTCATAGTGTATAATAAGCAATCAAATCATACTAGGAAACAGTCAATATAAATCATAAGGATACAAGCGACAAAGTTACAGTCATACAGTCACAAGTGGGAGGGGATGGGTGATAAGGAGTGATGAGAAGATTAATAGTAATAGTAGTGCAGACTTTGTAAATAGTTGGACAGTGTTGAGGGAATTATTTGTTTAGAAGAGTGATGACGTTCGGCAAAAAACTGTTCTTGTGTCTAGTTGTTCTGGTGTGCAATGCTCTATAGCGTCATTTTGAGGGTAGGAGTTGAAACAGTTTATGCCCGGGATGTGAGGGCGTCTGTAAATATTTTCACAGCCCTCTTTTTGACTCGTGCAGTATACAGGTCCTCAATGAAAGGCAGGTTGAAAGTAATTGTTTTTTCTGCAGTCCTAATTATCCTCTGAAGTCTGTGTCTGTTGGGTTGCAGAACCAAACCAGACAGTTATAGAGGTGCAGATGACAGACTCAATAATTCCTCTGTAACTCAGATCTGATTGTGTGGCAGGATCTGTAGGACATCTACCCCTTTCAATAACCCATTTCAATGTAGATTGCAATACACTAAGTGTAACACTGATTCTTGCATTAATGATCTAATGCTTCTTTCACCTAACAAAAGCATTAATCAAAAATAATGTATATTTCGCAAATACATCTTAGTCCTAATTCCACATTCTAATGTACACCATTATTATCTCACTTTCTTGAGTAAATGCTTGTTTTAAACAATTTTCAAGTTGGAAATGATAGAAGCAGCCAACTCAATCTTTTTGTATCCCGATATTTTAACATAAAATAAATGTATGTCTAAATTTAGCTGCTTCTCCTTTCCATTTTCCTGGAAGTTATGATAAGTTGAGAGATATCTTACTTTATCAAGGGCCACACTCTGGTAGTATGTTTGCATTTGCTTTGTGTTGCCATTGTTAGTATGGATCTCAGTAAAGAACACAAGAGCATTTGTAGTTCACAATACCTCTGTGTTTAGTGAATACTGGGGAAACAGCTTTCTATCTCTTCATCGCAGATCTTCAGCTTTCAGTTTGTGGTCCAGCTGAGGCTCAAAGGCAGTCATCTCCTTAATTCAAAAACTTGATAATTACAAAGAATTAATTTGGAAAATAGCTCCATAACTATCAACACCTTCCATCTTTTATCACATTAAGCACTAGAAGAATAAAGAGCAAAGATACGAATCAAGCTCCTTGGTTCCTCTATTTGTTGTTCCTGGAAGCCAATTAAAATGATTGCTACCAGCTTTTGAGTTGGCAAAAAACAATACTGGCACCAGTTTCCTTAATAAAGGAAAGGTGTGGGAGGACACACCTTTGACTGATGGTTAGACCAAGAGTTTGGTCATCGGCCAAACTTATTTTGGTTTTGCATAAGGGTTTCATGTAGCCACACTAAAAAGGTGTCCATACTCAGGTTACTTTTGGACACAATTTTTAGAGACAAGGATCATCTCAGAGAGCATAAAGAAAACTCAGTTTGAAAGCACTGGAGCTGTTGACCAAACTATAATGACTATATAGGATGCTCCAAATGGCTAACATCAGCTATATCATTCTCAACCCCTAAGAGTTATTTGAGCACATCAGCAATCGATCACTGAAACATCACAACACTTTTGATGGCTTAACAGGAAAGCACTAAATTAAACCTGGAAGAGCCAAGGACAATTAATGCTGCCTCTGACCTCAGCTGGAGACCACATGGACTCAATGTCATCAGCATAGGGCACAAAATATGGTTGCAAGGTGATGTTTATGCTGCAGTTAACTGCAAGTAAGGAAAGGTCATTTGATTCTGCCCTTCACCCTGCTTTCTCCAAGAAAAACGCTACAGGTCTTCATTTTTCTTCCTTCCTTAGCATACTCCTTTCACCATCATTAAGCCATACAGTTCATTGACATACATTTAATGACATTCTTCCCCCCCTCCCCCACTCCTTTGGACATTTCTATTTCTAAAGACTTTGCTGTCACAAATCCCTGCTATACAAAGTAGGAAGCCAATTTAGAGAATTCAACTAAATTTATCTCAACTTAGAAATTTGCTAAGTATCAGAGGGTACTGCCACCAAGACAAGTGGTGCAACTGTCAAATCATGTACTGGATGAATGAATGAATGAATGAATGAATGAGTGAGTGAATGAATGAAAAGGTAACTAAAGGTCCATGATAAAGAATGCTCACTGATACCATTATTAGTGCTAACATGCTTCTAGATATCTCAGTATTTGACCTCTCCGTAGGATAGAGCTGATGTGGTCACATCAAGTGGTGGGATTCAATTTTTTTTACTACCAGTTCTGTGGGCGTGGCTTGGTGGGCATGGCACGGGTGGATACTGTAAAATCTCCACGCCCACCCCACTTCTGGGGGAAGGTTACCATCGGTTCTCTGAACTACTCAACATTTCTGCTACTGGTTCTTCAGAACTGGTCAGAACCTGCTGAATACCATCTCTGGTCACGTGTGATTAAAAAGTTCAATATTCTAGCCAAATAAAAGAACAGAGACCTAATCTATTTGTAACAGTGACTAAATTAGTAGACCAGCAAAATACTGTGGACATAATATATTTAGATTTCAGCAAGGCATTCGATAAAGTAGACCACAACTTACTTCTTAGTAAGCTAGAAAAAAGTGGAATAGATAGCACCACCACTAGATGGATTCACAACTGGCTGGCAAACCGTACTCAACGAGTAGTCCTTAATGGGTCAAAGTCTACATGGAGGGAAGTAAGCAGTGGGGTGCCACAAGGTTCTGTCTTAGGCCCAGTACTCTTTAATATCTTCATTTACAACTTAAATGAGGGAATAGAAGGGGAATTTACCAAATCTGCAGATGATACTAAGCTGGCAGGAATAGCTAACACCCAAGAAGATAGGCTCAAGATCCAGATGGATCTTGACAGATTAGAACACTGAGCCATATCTAATAAAATGAAATTCAATATAGAGAAAAGTAAAGTCCTACACTTAGACAAGAAAAACCAAAAGTACACATATAGACTGGGTGAAACCAGGCTCTATAGCAGTAACTGTGAGAGGGATCTTGGAGTCTTAGTGGAAAACCAGCTAAATATGAGCCAGAAGTGTGCAGCAGCAGCCAAAAAAGCTAATGCAATCCTAAACTGTATTAACAGAGGGATACAGTCAAGATCAAGGAAAGTACTAATACCACTCTATAAAGCCTTAGTAAGACCACACCTAGAGTACTGCATCCAGTTTTGGTCACCACATTATAAAAAAGATGTTGAGGCTCGAGAAAACGTACAGAGAAGAGCAACCAGGATTATTAGGGGACTGGAGGCTAAAACATACAACAAACGGTTGCAGGAACTGGGCTTGGCTAGTCTAGTAAAGAGAAGGACCAGGGGAGACATGATAGCGGTCTTCCAATATTTGAGGGGCTGCCACAGTGAGGAAGGGGTCAAGCTATTTTCTAAAGCTCCTGTAGGCCAGACAAGGAATAATGGATGGAAACTGAACAAGGAGAGATTTAACCTGGAAACAAGGAGAAACTTTCTGACAGTGAGAACAATCAACCAATGGAACAGCTTGCCCTCGGAAGTTGTGGGAGCTCCATCACTTGACACTTTCAAGAAGAGATTGGACTGCCATTTGTCAGAAATGGTGTAGGGTCTCCCACTTGGGCAGGGGGTTGGACTAGATGACCTACAAGGTCCCTTCCAACTCTGATTATCTGTATCTGTATCTGTAACGGAATAGTTAGATACAGCAGATGATGCCAGGAGAAAGACAAAGTTGTTACTTGAAATAATTTTTGGTCAGACTGTAATCCAGAGTGGATATATTTATGCATTTTAGTACAAGTTTAAGTTTAATACCTACAAACAAGTGTGGGAAAATAACTGTTCAGGGTCAGGTGATCCATTTTTTTTGCATTTGAGTCAGTTTTAATTCCTGGTGACCAAATGGGCAAGTTTATGCAATTTTCTTGACAATATTTTCAGAAGTGCTTTGCCGTTGTCTTCTTCCTAGGTTGAGGAAGGTCATTCTCCTAGATTTCATTCTTAAAACAGGGTTGGAACTCAAATTTACCTATTCCTAACCCAGTACTTTAACCACTGGCTTTTTCAATGTGTATACAAATTCTTTGCCATTAAGAAGCATTAATTTATATATACAAGTGACCTCAACCTAATTTAAAGATCTCGTAGGCATGTAAAGAGAGATGTATATATAAAATGAAGTCATTAGTAGGAATAAATTTGATATATGTATCTGATTCATCCTACCATTTTTCACAGGACAATTCAACCCTGAAGAAATTTAAAAATGAATATTTCACTTTATTATTCTTTTCAGTGAAAGAGTGCAAACTACTTTACTTTTTAAGTATTGAAAAACTTGCAAACATATATGAAAACAGAAGCCCTAGCTGGTGCCAACCAAGGATGGAGAAGAAAAGGAAGATAAAATTC